CAGATAAAGTCGTGTCTTATTTATACTCTGTTCTACTGACAACAGGCCAGCGAAAAATCTAACAATCTACAGCAAAACCATCAATTATTATGGGCGTTATAACATAGGTGTGCAGCTGAACGAAACATACACGTCGAACCCCCCCAGACGATTTAAATCCCTGACGAAACATACACGACGAACCACGGCAACGGGTTAATATGGGCATGGTTGGTCCATAGACCTGTCATGCACGTCCTACTTTGAAAATTTATATAAATTAAATCACATTCCCCTGTTAGTACATATATCTCAGAATGACAGTATTAATTCCATAACGTCAAGTGATAGAAATGATCTGCTGGAATATGCCCTAATATTATTTTCAGAGCTTGTACATTTTCTTACATTCATGTATCATATATTCATTGTGTAATTGTGGGTGCTACGTAACTATGAAAGATGGGAATACTTTGTGTAGTGACACATCACAATTCAATGGCTGTGAAATAGACTCAGTGCCCACAACAGATACTCTCAGTTAAATACTCTGAATAAAGATACTTCATAAAATATGCGTGTGAAATGTATAGTGTCATATGTGGACCATCCCAAAGTAAATCCCTCCTCATCCCCCCCCCCCCCAGGTGTTCACTAAAGAAAATACCGCTAATCACATTAGACGTCCTGAAGAAAATAAGGTGCTTGGGCTATCTGTTCATGAAGAATAAATTGTCATTAATCACATCATCATTTAAGCGGCTGCACATTTAATAAATTTAGTAACACTTTCTGAAGCTCATTTTGCAGAATTTCCAATTTTCATTGCAGGACCTCGAAAATTTGTATAAATGTTTTTTCTTCTTCAAATTTTGCATGAAAGACATTCTGGGGGAAGAATACCACTCACTTTACTTCAAATGTGTTACGACTGAGACCAGCACATTATGTACAAATTGATTCTGGAGGAGCCTGCCAAACTTTGCGGGTACATTAAGTAATTTTATGTAAAGTCCTATTAGTATAGATCCAGTCTATAGTTGCTGAAACATGGCAGTTTCAAACTGAGACAGACACACCAGAAATGTAGGGTTTTCATAAGAAATTGTATGGCAACTACAGTTACTCTTAGTAATGAAACATGTAACACAACTGGTCAAAGTGTCTGTCTCACTTCTTTCCCTCCAAACTTTCTTAATTACAGAATTTCTTCATACTGGGTGGCACCATTTTCGTCACCCTCGCCCTTATTACAACTACAAGACAGATATTGAACAATTTGCCTATTCCCACTCTACAGCCCCATGCTTCGTGACTGTATCCTCCTGATGTCTGACCTATATACTGTATCACATCATCTTCATGCACTCTGAAGATGGAAACCGCAGTGTATGCCAAAACACAACATGACTGAACTCCAAATGCCAAAATCATGCAATACTCTCCATTAGATGGAATAGCAACAATGTCAAATACTGCTAGGACAAAAGGTTTAAAGTGAATGTTGTTGTAAAGTTGTAAGGTAATTTTAACCAGCATGAAATTCTAATAATTAATTAATTAAATTAATCTTTGTAAATCACAATGTAAAATCAAAGGCAAATGTTATTTCTGTATAAGTGTTTTACTGACATGACCAAATGTGGGCTTTTGAAGAACTTCTGTATTGCTTGTAGCTCTTGTTCAGTGAAAAGTGTTGCAATGTATAGCTTATCAGCGTTCTGATACTTCTGAGATTCCTATCTTCATACTACAATGACCAGTTGCTTGTGCCTCACACACTTTTGATAATTACACTATATACTGACAGACCTCTACAGTTGTACTAGCATTGTAAAACAAGCGTTTGCTCATTTTTAAATTTATATTTCTCCAAGAAGACAAAATTGGTAATATATTAGGTTACCCTCATGGAAAGGATAAGTTGTCCCTGTGCTTAACTAATTAAGCACTATGCCATGAAGGTGTATGGGGGAGTGCATGTATAGATCCACATTTTCTTGGCCTCAGCACTAGTTAGAGGTGTGTAGTCAGCTTCACACCCCTGGTACCCACTGGATAGGAGGCTGGGTCAGCAAGAGATCCAGTCTGGATGATATGGAGAAGTGAAAATTCTTGCCCTCACAGAGACTAAAAGTGCAACCCTCGGTTGTCCAACCCATAGCCAGTCGCTATGCTGACTACGCTATCCTGGCTCTTTAGGTTAACCTCACATAAATTAAAATTTACTTTATGTTACATTATATCTGTAGTGAGTCTAGTAAGCGAAAATGTAACAAAATTTGTGAGAAATTTGGCGGCTGATGATGATATACTCACATACTCGTATGTGGTCAATGTATTATGAAGTTGTTCTGTCTTGGTCATTGCATCAGTCTGCCATTTGCTACTGGCAAGCCTGCCAAGATTGCATTAGCTCATGGCGGTGAAAGGGTGAAGATATGAAAGTGCTGGCAAAAGGAAAGTGAATGGGCCAATTTTTGCATTTCACTCATCAGGATGCTGTAGTTTCAGTAAATTCAGGTTCTTAACATGGAAAGGGGAAAGATACCTTCAACAATCTTAACATTCAATCCCAAAAAACACAATGGCTATTATTTACCAACAAAAATATCCTACTGTGGTACAATCAACACAAAATAGTCACCACCATGAAGTTGTGTAACATACAGTTATATCTGATTTCATAGTTTAAAAGAGACATTGTATTAAACCATTTTGGTTTAGGCCTATAGGGGAAATTACAATATCTCAGTTCACTGTAAACATAATTTGTAACTAAGTTCCAAAATGTATTTAATACATTTATACTAACAAATTAAGAAAAACTGATCACTGAATATAGTTATCAAAACACTGAGACTTCTGGGGACCTACAGACAAGTTATTGCATATGCAAACTAAAGCAGAGTAACATGCACCCATCCATTGACAAGGGCTAGCTGAATAATTTTCTGTGTGATGCAACAGTAGTGAATAGTACAGTGCATTCTTTTTTGTTGACATGAAAAATGGAATTCATTGCAGAAATCTCACTGAGAGCTGACTATACTCATAAAAAAGTGACTATTATTAAGGAACAGTCCTTTCTGACATATCTAACTTCACTCCATTTGCTTACACTATATGAAAGGCGGGTTACACAATGTCCATCTTGGTTTAAATATATCTGCCAGTGAAACATATAGAAACAAGTAAAACTGCTTTAATGCACTGAAAGGGAAGGAGATATAATACAAGTGTGCCTTAGCTGACAAAAACAAATGGCCTCTTCCTTCTAAATATCCATTTTGTGAAAGAGAAATTAAAATACATCAGTAAGATAACAAATCTGGAAATGTATCTTTTTTTTAACAAAGCGGGCAGCCTACTGCATCAAGGGGCACAATGAAAAAGGAATGCACTTTACATGTCATTTTATTAAATTACCGTATTCACTCAATTGAAAGGCAATCTCTCCCTGTTACTAGGCCTGTTTATTCCATATTTAAGAGTAACAATCAATAAGGCTGCTGGTCATGAAACTCCATCTCAAACATTCTTTCCTGACAAGTACACTATATATATATATAACAAACTCTGTGGCCCCTAGTCCGCAAGCGAACTATACTGACCAAGCGACCGCCGGTTGTCGGCGAAGTTAGTGCCAACTTTTGTGGATAGAGGGTGTCGCGTGGTCAGTGCAACGGATCCCCACGGCCGTTAATTTCGGTTTTCTAAACGGGACACTATATATATATAAACCATAAAAACCTTTATTTATATTGCAATGAGAAGGCATGTGGAATTTCACTGCATGCATTTGACAAAAGAGAGTTTTCACCTTAAATGTGACTTGCAAATGAGCAAATACGGTTGTCAGTCCTGCTAAATTATTATGAAACTATGAAGGCAGGATCTGTAAGGGCTTCTAATGAAATTCATTGGTTTCTGGGGTGCTATTCAGTATCAATGATTTACAATTTGGTCCTAGTTTTACATATTAACCTGTAGAGAAGCAGTCATCATACTGCAATATTAGCCATGTCTCATGTCCATAAAATGCACCTAAGTGTTCAATCATGTTGCCATAAAAACTAAAAATAGGCAAGAATCTTGAACAGTGTCACTGTTGGCCTCAAAAGTTTTCCCAGACTCTAAAGCAGTACTGTTTTCTTTTTACTGTGATGGCATCACCAAATATTTATGCATTTACACAGCAAATCTAATGTTTAGGTGAACTGGAAAATAAAAACATGGTACAACAGCACAGCTGGCAACCAGTTATATAATAGTCTGAAGATACATCTGCAGAAATTTTATCTATGGATTTGGTTGTTATGAATGGCATATGTCTTTTGCCTTATTCTTCTTCTTTTTTTGGAACACAAAATTAATTTATATAGATTATATTAAGTGGTAAGTGGACTATGCTGTTTTGTTGTACACATAAATTTTTGTCTCAAATGGTTTTAAGGATTGAGATAATGACATGTCAGATGTATCTTTGTAATTAATTAACATTACAAATTACAAAGATATGTCTGACATCCCATTATCTTAATTCCCTTAAACCATTTTTAGACTAACATTTATATGTACAACAAACAGCATAGTCCATTTGCCACTACACATCACTCGCCAAATACAAAATGTTCAAAATGATCTGGACTTAAGAGCGAATCATAACAGAAACCTTCCAAATTAATGCGAGTATGATGATTACCATGGGACAAAAACTACCAATTCCAGGGTCATACCACTGAAAATGGGTGACAGTTGGCAAACCCTGGATGCTATAAATTTCTTCTTCTATTGACTATAAATAAATTTTCAACAAACATCAATACCGAATAGCAACCCTGTTTATTATCCAAGAAAGGGGTAAGCAATTCAGCTGTTGTTCAAAACCAACTTTATCATTACATACAGCAGCAGCGGCCTCCTGTCTGCATGTGGAAGTAGCCCATTTAATTAATATACAGAAATCAATGGAAACAGTGTTCTCATTAGCAAGGGAGTGTTGTTAGCTTTGCGACATCTGCCTGCTCTGCAGCAACCTCTCTACTGCAGCATTGATGTCACCAAATGTTGCAATCAGAGCTGGGGGAGAAAAAAGTACACAAGGTAAGTTCTGGAGGCATGATATAGAACAGTAGTTCTTAAAGGCAGTCATCAGCATTCTTCTGTGAGGCTACAGAATTTAGCCTTTTGTTCATACAACGCACTAAAACTAAGAGTTCATTCTAACTGCACTGCAAACAATTAATGAATATGTTAAAGAGTTACTAATCTCAGCTCCAAAAACTTAGCACATAAGCATAAAACATATTTTTCCATAGTTGTACAAATTTAATACAATGGTAATCTAGAAATTGAGCCAGTTAAATCAATTGGATACCCTCAAGTCCTAGTGACAAAGTGTTTTCACAAAATAATAAATACGTTATTTAATTACTGGTTCATTATTTGAAACAGTAATAGTTTCACCATCCTGTCAATAACTACATTAATCAAGTTTCTATACTGAAGTACTTAATATTTCCAGTGTAACAGTCTCAATAGTATATATATTGCATATAATGTTCTTATATAAAGTATAGTAAAGGCAGGCCGCGCCATAGCTCAAGCGGTTAGTCGCTGGCTTCCCGATTCGATCCAGGGTCTGGTCAAGTGGGATTTGTGGCGGACAAAGTGGTGCTGGGGCAGGTTTTCTCCGACTACTTCGGTTTCCCTGCCAATCTTCATTCCACCAATTGCTCCACAATCACCCTCACCTACCATCTGGGGCTGGTACAACAGGCCAGAAGTAGCTGCAGTACAAGGGACTTAGACCCACCCCACTAGCAAAAAGAAAAAAAAAGTAAAGGTATCCCTCTAACAGACTGTGGATGCCCATAGGGCTGTGAGATGTTGAGGCTCCACAGTTTCTAGACAACTGGTTCACAGATGGCGCTGAGGTTGTCAGCCTTATGCACTGGCTGCCCTTTACCCCAGGAACATTCCTGGTACTCATTTCTGTTAGAGGCTGAGTCGACCCCAGGGCCACAGTGCGTCTGGAAGGATTAGGTAAATTGAAAAAATCCACCTCATTTGGATTCGATCCTGCGACCTTCCAGCTTGTAGCATAGTGTCTCAACCAACTACACTACCATGTGCCTATATAATAGCAACATAAACTGTAATTGCTTATAAACAGAAAATTTTCCACAACACTTTGCCCATATCCTACTATATTTTACCTTGAAGGTTTGCATCCCTGTTCACAAAACCCATTGCCGTAAGCTGCTCAAGCTGAGCATGGTATCTCTCTTCTGGTGGCTGGTTATTGGCTCCACTTTGAGCAGACATGCTGGAAATCTGTAAAGTATACCACTATAAGTCATAACACATATACACTGTACATCACACTTGAATGGGTAATGCTCTTGCTTCATATTCGGGAGGTCCAGAGTTAAAATGTGTATTTAGATATCACTCATCCTAAGATTTTCTGTGCTGTTCCTCAGCTCCTCCAGGCAAACACTGGAATAGTACTTCAAATTATACCACTACCACTACTTTCCACATAATTTCCAATTCATTATGCACTGCTTATACCACCACCGCCGCCAACTCCATGTCCTGTAGTCCGCAAGTGAACTATGCCGACCAAGCAACCGCTGCTTTCTGCGAAGTTAGTGCCAACTTTCAACGGATAGAGGGGGTCACATGGTCAACACAACAGATTTCCACGGCCATTAATCTCGGTTTTCTAGACCAGAGCTGCTATTTCCTTGAAACAGCTCCTCAATTATCCTCACGAGGCTGGGTGGATGCCGTTCCAGGCCCAGTACTTCTCAGAAAATTTGGTAGCGCCAGGAATTGAACCAGGGGCCTCTGGATCTGTAGCCAGGAACTCTGACCACTAGACCACAGAGGTGGCTGATCATCCTATCACTTGACACTATATACCCTGATCTACTAACAGCCTTATTACATATGAGGGGGGACCCAAAAATAACCGGAAATGACCTGTTGCACGCGCATGCTTTGTAGTTACGAGTTGTGCTGCTAGGTGGTGTTAGCTGGGGGTCTCCCGCGACTGTTAGTGAGCTGGCGTCAGTCTGAGTTAAGTGGTTTGTCTGTGATGTTCTGTTGTGTGCGTTCCTGTTTCAACCCTTTGGCGATTAGTGAGATGGCCGACCAGAAGGAACAAAGAGTGTGCATGAAATTGATGAAGATCGTCGAAAGACCATTGACCAACTTTCTGAGGAAACGAACATCTCATGGAGCACGGTCCAGCGAATTTTAACCGAAGGTTTGCACATGAGACGGGTGTCTGCAAAATTTGTTCCTCGCTTGCTAGGAGATGACCAAAGAGAAAACTGCGTGAATGTTTGCCGCGACTTGAAGAGTGAAGTGCAGTTTTCCCTAACAGAAATCAAAATTTCACGCACACTCTTTGTTCCTTCTGGTCGGCCATCTCACTAATCGCCAAAGGGTTGAAACAGGAACGCACACAACAGAGCACCACAGACAAACCACTTAACTCAGACTGACGCCAGCTCAGTAACAGTCGCGGGAGACCCCCAGCTAACACCACCTAGCAGCACAACTCGTAACTACAAAGCATGCGCGCGCAACAGGTTGTTTCCGGTTATTTTTGGGTCCCCCTTCGTAAACTGTAAATAAATTACACAGTCACACACAAGACAGGAAAAATATTGTACCTATGCAAATACATACATTAACTGTGAAATGTGATTCATGTCTTACAGTAGGATCTATAATTTGGATCATTAACAATCAAGAAACCTGAATGTCTACTGCTGCAATGGTTTGTCTGGAACGAAAATACAAAGTAATGGTATATAAAGACTTGTGTTTAAATGCGTAATGCGTGATTACAAACTGAGCAATACACCACTGTACAGCCCGGGTATTTAGAAGTGACAGTCCAGGAAAAGATGCGCAGTGGATGGGCAGGTCCATTCATGAAAGTTGAGGGGTGTTGTGATCAGTCATTCATTTGTTTTCAGTGCGAACAGACATCTCAAGTTCAGTTAAAAGCATTCTTCCTTGTACAGTCAAGTTAAAAAGTTTTGACTCTTGGAGTCGCATTTGAGTGTATTATTCTCTATTTACTGTATTAATATTTTATTTTATTGTTTATTTTTATTCATTGATTTTCTTTTTTGTTTATTTATATTTGTACATTTTTCTATCTCCTTTAACATGAAGTAAATTGAGTGGAAAAGTGTTGCATTCACAATCAAGAGAAACTGTTAGTAATGTATATAAGTATATGAAAGAGGCTGGGCCAACAATTACAGTGAAGAACATAGGAGTGGAAGTAGCAAAGGCAACAGGAGTATCAGAAAGTAGTGTCAGAAGAATAATAAGAGAAACAAAAAATATCTAATCTGGGGCTTCCACTTTCTTTTCGACACCCCATAAAGAAAGATCTAGGAAATCTCCACTAGCCACTTTGGACGACTTTAACGAGTCTGTGGTGCGAAGAACAATTAACGACTTCTACATAGTTGAAAAACAGAGAGCTACCCTGAAAAAAAGTTCAGGAAAAGTTCAAGAAAACGTGAGATTTTCAGGGATGCATCTCCACATTAAAGAAAATTATTTTGAAACTGGTGTTCCACTGAAAGAAAACAAAAAATAATCAGCAGATACTGGTGGAACGCTATAATATCAGATAAAAACGTCTTCAGTATTTGCAGCAAATTAAAGAATACAGGGAAGAGGGCCACCCAATCATCTACATGGATGAAACCTATATTCATTCATCGCACACCACCCCATATGCATGGAGTGATAGATCCATCCAGGGATTATTTTCCCCCCCGTGTCCAAAGGCCAACAGCTCATTGTTATCCATGCAGGGGGAGAGCAACGTTTTATCCCCAATGCCTATGTCCGCTTCAAATCCCACAAAAAAAAAAAAA